ACTCTGTGTGGAAGTTATTTGCAGCAACTGAAGCAAGTGCATCTCATGTAGGTGCCGAATTTTTTACTGTTAGGTGAAAAATGAGACCTTTGCCAAGTTATTTTTTATGAGAGATTTCTTTAAAAATATACTGGGGATTGAACACAGACCGAACGAATCTGAGGGTGAAATGGTGGAGGAAGGAGGATACAGAATTCCGGGGACTTGGATTCAGAAGATCTCAGGCAGCAGTGCAGGGTTGTGGGCAGACCTGGGCTTTGGAGTCAGGTAAACTGCATGGAATACCAGCGTGGCCACTCACTGTGTGGCCTTGGGAAAGTGTAAAGTGACATAACATACACTGATCTGCTTTCTCATTTGTCAGATGCAGATAATTATACCTGCCTTGTGGCGTTATGAGTATTATCTGAAGTAATTGTGTAAAAAGTGAGTTCCTGGCATAAAGAAGACACGTAATGAGTGAACATTTTTCTTACTAACTTTTAGAGTCATGAATAAAAGGATCATTCCAAGGAGAAGATTGACGTCAGTATCAGAAATACTTTAAAGATTGAGAAGGATGCAGCCTGAGTTAAGACTATGGATGTGAGAGTTTTTACTTTTAAGAACAGTAAATTCTGAATGGTAATTTTCCTTGTGCTCATGTAGTTCTCTACAGGTTCCCAAGTAGTTTCCTCTAGAAACAAAAGAATACCTTACTTGATTGGCATATTACTGTGTTATCTTATCTGAACTGGAAATTGGGAACATTGGCCACTCTATGTTCAGTCCCTGTGCCCTCAGTTAACATGACTTCTGCCCCCAATTATCTGACGGTTCCATGATTTAGAGAATTCTGGTGATTGTTCAATGTAGCCTGAATGCTTTTGGTTCTAAATATTGAGATAAAGTGACGGTTACTGAAGAGTTTTCCTTTTTTGTTGATGTTAATTTGCCATGATTCATTACACGCTCCATTGCCTTAACAGTTAAACGAGAATTGAATTTCAGTTATGTTATGTTCTGTGTTTTCCAAAGCAATTACAAATGGAAAGGCTTATGTTAGGGTCAAGAATACAAAAGGAACTATTATGCAATGTATGCCTCACCTTCTATTCAAGTGTGAAACGTAAGAATTCAGAAGAAACAATTAGATTATTAGAACACTTAGGAACAGAATGTTTTATAATATAAATATAAGAAATTATAATGTGGTATTTTTGTCAGCCTTTAAAATAAGTGTTGGGCTCACGGGCCCAGGGTCTTAACAAAATTAGGAAGAAGATAATGGAAATAGTAGGCATCCCCAAATCCGCCTTTCAGGCTCTGGTGCCAAGCTTGCCTGCTTTCTTTCAGTTCCTTGAATGTACTGTGTTTCCTCCTTTTATTTGTAGCACATGCTGTTCCATTAGGCTGAAATGCTCTTTATTCATCCTCTGGAATTCAGCTCAGATGTCACTTCCTCAAGGAAGCCTCTGATCCTCCTCCCCCTGGATAGATCAGATTCTATTCTCCTGGCACCCTGCGCCTCTCCCTCATAGATAGCATTTATCACAATTGTATGCTCCATGAGACAGGACTCAGTCTAGCTTACTCAGGGCTCTAAGCCAGGCACTGGGAGCAGAGTTCACAGTAGGCACTCAATAAATGTTTGTTGAATGAAGTTCAACATTTATTACGCACCAAGTGCTTCACTTCATTAACTCATCATTATAACCCTTTAGGTAGATTTTATCCCCATTAACAGATGAGGAAAGTGAGACTAGAGAAGTGACTTGCTCCAGGTCACACAGTCAACCAATGACACAGTCAGCTTGACCTTTGATGCCAAAGCCAGTATAATTTTGTCTTTTATTTTCCTTATTGCATGCAGTTATCTCACTGAAAAGCCAGTGTTCTAAGCATGGTACTCTGTGATCTACCTCAGGAGAGCAGACAGAGGGTCTGATCCAACTGCAGCCATGTGCTTATAATGGGCATTTGTTGTGTGCCTTCCTGCTTTCCCAGTCACGGGCTTCTGGCCGCACACCCGGTTGCATGAGCAGTGCAAGATAGGTTGTGGAGAGACCAAAGAAAAGACCCAACGATGATGGACGAGACATAAAGTTTATTGGGTCTTGCTTACGGGGAATGTCCAGGAGCAGCCGGCTGGACAGGGTTGTGCACCTGCACCTGCTATCGTGAACAGGGCAGGGGTTGCTTGTACGGGCAGGGGAACAAAGGCTGCGTGCTCCCCAAGAGGACCTGTCCTTGCATGACCAGCATTCCAAGGACCAGGAGCTCCCATGGAGGGACTCTGTGTTCCCTCAGAAGTCATGTTCTTCAAGAGAAACAGTTACAATACCAGATGGTTGGTGTCTTGCCCAGGAGGAGCCCCGAAGGACACACGGTTGAGATAGGGCACATAGGTTATTACTGGGCAAGTGTGAGCCCACACAGGCCCTGTTTTCACTTGAGGAATATACAAATCTCCTTGTCTTAGTCCACGTGGTCTGGATGTTCTCAGCCCCAGGGACCTAGACTGTGACTTATACTTGAGCCAGTCAGTGTAATCCATCCCAACTAAATATTATGATTGGTTCAGGGATGGGTTTGTGAGCCAGTATGGTCAGTCAGAGCCAATTAGGACTCAATGCAGACCTTTGGCGCTTTTGCACAAGTGGACTTGATCTTTCCAGCTGGCCTTGGGCCCTGGCAGCATGAAGATGGACCCTGCTTCCACAGACTCACCACCTGGTCGGGCAAGCAGAGAGGAGGGCAGGCGTGACCTTAGACACTGTCTGGCTCCCGATAACGTTATTATTATGAGCAGGGGCTCAAGCTGTGCCTGAGGCCTTCTCCCCTGATGCTTTTCGCTAATTTGAGTCAGTAAAGTCCTTTTTCTGCTTAAGCCTCTTTGGGTTGGGAGTTCTGTCACTTGCAATCAAAGGAATCCTAACCAACACAGGACCTAAAAGACATGGGGCATCTTTTGTCTTTTTTCTGTTTCCATTTTGCACAGGATGCAGTCGCTTCCTCAGGCTCTTGGAATGATCACTTATGGGTGTTTTCTAGGCCTGAGCAGCATAGCAGTGAGAGGGTAATCCGGCAGTGACATTGTCAGAACAGGTTTTGTGGTTTTGGGACTTGGCTTCTAGGACTTGCTCAGTGACTTGTGGAATGTAAGAAACTTCATTTATTTGTGTCTCTACACCTCTGTTTTGTCTATAGAAAATGAGGATACTATTTGTAGCACCACTTAGACAAGAGGGAGTTGATAAGAATGTGCCAAATACTTTGTACTTTGGTGCTATTTACCTTCCATCATGCTGATAACATTTCACCATGTCGACCTGTGGCTTTTCATATTTCTCAGTCGCTAGACTGACCTAATCGATAGTGAGGTGGGCAGACTAAGGAGGTTCCTACTTTTTGGAGACTGTGGAGGGAGGAGATTCATGTTCCATAGCTTAGGAGGCCTTGGATGAGTGTCCTAAGCTCACCGTAACAATAACTTTTCATGTTCAAGAGAGTTAGAACAGTAAGCTTCCTTTTTTTCTGCTCTATGGATTTCACAAGTGGGATCTTTGGACTTGAACTTTTCAAAACTCATTCTGACCCTTCGAAAATTGCTTTTTCCAAAATCTAGCTGTGTTTATCGTTACCTGGCTGTAGAAAGAAAAAATCTGTGTGTTCAAATAGCTTATTGTTCCACAATGCAGGAAAGCCCCCCCAGAGACATTAAGAAAAATGAAACCAAGTCAGCAAAGAGAAAAATCATTTATTTTATTTCCATTCCTAAAATGTATGTGAATTTATGAATTGATTTGTTATTTAAGTCTCTTTGAAAATCATCTCAGAAAATATACTAAATTTATTAAAATACACACAAACTATTGCCGAAAATTCTATTCTTAAACCCTCTGACTGACCAACCTAATGCTTGTTTGCAAAGCACTTGTCATGATTTTTAGAGGTTTCCGTGGTTGCAAGGAACAAAGAAGGCATCTTGGGACAGGAGTGGAAGTTTGATCAGAATCATCCAAAACATACTTGTCTACTTCTTTACACGCTCACAGATTGCCTGGTTTTTAGGGGCTCCTACAAACTGCCTAATCATACAAGGTTTTCCTAATACAGTGGGCCTTTCTTTGCCTGCAGGTTGCTACCTTCAGCAGAGTGTATGCTAGATAATAAGGAAAAGGAACCCAAGAACCTTAACTGCCTCAGATAGTTTTATGGATACGCTGAAGCGTCAAGTACAGTCTTCATCTAAAGGATTGAAGACTGGAATGCAAGAAAACAAACCTTGGAAGAATGCTGGAATAAAAGACATAACAAAGCTGTGCAGAACTAGGCGTGGCGGCATGGTACGTTCATTTTGAAAGCCAGCCCAGTGATACAAAGAACAACGGATGGATTCAGATTTCTTTTTCAAAAGATCTGTGCTATGTAGATGTGGATTTTCAACGAGTTAGTATTTCTTTATCCAGTTTATGAATTATTAAGATTTTTTCACTTCTCCCTTTTTTAAGTCTTCTTTCGAGTAATTTAACTGCTTATTAGCGCCAAGCTCTCAAAGAGGGGGTGAAGTTAAAATCTGTTAAATAAAATAACATAAATAAGACAGTTGGAAAACTTTTAAAGTTACTGAACACACTAAGGTTTGGGGATAATGGCAGACATCAATTATGAAAGCCCACTGTTTCCTTTTAAGGGAGAGTTCAATGCTTCTTTTTATGTGTGTGCGTGTGTGTGTGTGAGAGGAAGATCAGCCCTGAGCTAACACCCATGCCAATCCTCCTGTTTTTGCTGAAGAAGAGTGGTCCTGAGCTAACAGCTTTGCCAATCTTCCTTCATTTTATATGGGAGGCCGCCACAGCATGGCCTGACAACTGGTGCGTCGGTGTGCGCCCAGGATCAGAACCCGGGCCGCCAGCAGTGGAGCTCGCGCAATTAACCACTACGCCATGGGGCCGGCCCCGAAAGCTGGGGTTTTTTTTGTTTTGTTTTTGATTCTCTGGGACACAACAGAAAACGGCTAAGTAGGTTATAACATAAACTTTTAGGGATGACATTCAACTTGACCTAAAAAGAGAGTTTCTCGTCTCCCAATTAGTATTCTAAGCGTACAACTGAGGCCTGAATTTATTTGAGCCATTCAGCTCCCTACTGTGTGTGCGCTATTTCACAGCATATCCGTAGATGTGAGGGCGCACTATCTCCCAGGACAGCGGCGCCTGTAAGCGCTGCAGCTTCAGCTTGGAGAAGCTGGCTGTCTCCAGGGCCTTCCAGCTCTCTCTGGTGAGGTTGCACCCGTCAAACAGAAGGTACCAGACAGGATCCAGGACCTGCTGCCAGAAGTAATTCCATGTTGAACGCTCAGCTGCTACGTGCTCCATGAAATAAAAAGCCCCGCCCTGCGAGGGGAAAAGAAAAACCTTTGAGGATTTTAGTTTTGGGGAAATAGATTTATAAGATGATTGAAGTTTCAGATTTCAGTAGCCCCAGAGGCCAACTTCAGGAGAAGACACAGGTAAATTAAAACTTATTCAGACACCATTTTGGTCAATGGTTTCATCGTCTGTCAGATTTTATACAGACCTGCCAATCTAAAACAATTAACACTTATATTTTCTGATCATAAATGTAATACATAAAAATAGCTAGAACTTACAGCAGTTACTGCATGCAAGGCACTATCCTTACTGCCTATCACACGTTAACTCACTTCATCCTCACCAGAAACTTATTGGTAAGTAGTAGTGTTATCATTCCTATTTTTATAGATGAGGGAACTGAGTCAGACAGACAATGAGGAACTTGTCCAAGGTCACACAGCTTGTAAATGTTAGAGTCAGGTTTAGAACCTTGGTGGTTTGGCTCCAGAGGCTGGCAATACTGCCTCCCCAATATGTTGATTTTAGAAAGTACAGAAAATTTTAAGAAGAAAAACAATCAACCACCATTTCATTACCTTGAGATAACTGCTGTTAAGATTTTGTGTGTACTTTTATATGAATATGTATTTTTTTCCCTAAAACTAGGATTGCAATATACATTCTGTTTTGTAACATGCTTTATTTTATTTATATATTTGAATCTTATTCTACAACATTTTAAAAATCTTTACACAATATTTCACACACTGAAGGTACCAGCTCTTATTTAACCATTCTCATTTAGTTTACTTGCAATTTTTCACTGTTCAAAACACAGTTACAGTGAACATCCTTATCCATAAATCTTTGTGACCATCTCTAATTATTTCCAAATAACTTGCCAAAAAGTGGAATTGCTGAGTCAAAAGTCTGTGCCTTTTTGAAGCTGTCGGTACAGGTTGTCAAATGGCCCTTTGGAAAAGTTGTAGCAAATTTACCTTCATACCAGCAATGGATGGGAGTGCCCGTTTCCGGTAAACTCGCATCAATACTTTTTCCCCCTGTATCTTTGTCAACTTGATGGGTAAAATGGTATTTCATTTACAATAATATGCATATCTTTGCTTTTCTTAATAGAGATAACATCTTTTACTAAACCTTGTTGGTTATTTGGATTTCTTCTTTTCTCATGTGTCTGTCGATGTCCTTTATCAGTTTTCTAATAGGGAGCTGGCTTTTTTCTTACTGACTAGTAAGGGCTTTTAGTATCATAAGATTATGTATAGCAGCAATGTTTTCCCCAATTTGTTGTTTGCCATTTAATTACTTTTTTTTTTTGCTTCTTTCATTTTTAAAAAAAATCTTTTAGTTCATCTGAAAATTCTTCTCAGGCTCTGCTGTGCAAACCTGTGGGAGAGTCTGAATCCACACCAAGCACTGCCTGAGACTAACCATGTCTTTTGCTTTTGCACCATTGTCACAGGTTGTAAATTACATGATTAATTAAAATACTGAATCATCTAAAAGTGTTACTGAATTCATGGTAATATTTTGTCATTAGGTATTTTATGCAATCAGTGGATACTATGTTTAAATTACTGTCTTGTAGGAATTAGCAATTGCTACTTTCATCCAGGACAGTCCTATATAAACATAGGTCAAGTATAGACACAGTAGAGGCTATACAGTATTAGGAGATTTTGAGAAGTTTTCTACCTGTCTACCTCTTAGGGGAATAGCGGGAAAGAACCTGACAATCACCTGCAAAACTCATGGTGACTGTTCCACTGTTTTTAGCTTCTTCTAGCTACCCTAGTCTTGGCTATCTCAGGCACGGGGTTTAGAGATGGAGTTCCCCCAGATTCTGTGGGTAAGTATAAGACTTGTGTTCAGGAATGGAAAACTTGGGATTTCCTGATTGAAAAGAACAAAAAAAGAATTTCCATAGAGTAGGACAGGAGAGAAGGAAGGAGACCCAGGTCTGGGGAGGTCAGTTTTACCCTCTGGGTTAACAGAGGTTAAGCTAGAAATGTTTGTCACTCATTTGGTTGACTGTCGAGTAAACAGCTAGATATGCAGGTTGGGGTTAGAGAGAGATCTGAGCTAGATATTTTGATATGGAAACCATCTGTGTAAGCATGGTAACTGAAAACTTTGGGGGCACTTATGTTCACCAAGTGGACCTATATAAGTGAAATGAAAGCCAAAAAGGAAGCTCTAATGTTTAGGGGATGGGCAGAGGAAGAACAGCCAGCAAAAGGGGTAGAAATGTTGAAGTCAGAGAGATAAAAAGCCCCAGTGACAAGCACTGTGGTGCAGCGAGAAGAATATTTGCATTAAAGAAAGTCAGACCTACCAGCCGTGTGACTTGGAGCAAGTTTCATAACCTCTCTGAGTCTGTTTCCCCAACCCAACATGAAGACAGTACCTGCTTCACAGGACTGTTGTCAGTCGTGGTTACATTCAGCAGAGAGCGGGTGCTTTGCAGGAGCTAAGGAAGACTTCCAAGAATATGATCTCCTTAAGAGTATTATCAGTGCTATAAAGTGGAGATGATGATTGCTTGCCTTGCAGGGGTGTTGTGAGATTAGTAACACTGTAGACAAAACATCCACTAACTGTGCCCCATTAGTGCCCAGTCGTAGGATACAAGAACCCAGCATTTGGGGATAAGGATCAGACCTTTTTCATGTACTGCTTTGATGTTGGCCTGTCCTTGAGCCAAAGACAGAATTGTATTATTGCCTCTAAATTCTATCTCTGGGGCCGGCCCGGTGGTGCAAGTGGTGAAGTGGGCACGCTCCACTGCGGTGGCCCTTGTCAAGCCATGCTGTGGGGGCGTCCCATATAAAGTAGAGGAAGATGGGCACGAATGTTAGCCCAGGGCCAGTCTTCCTCAAGAAGAAAGTGGAGCATTGGCATCGGATGTTAGCTCAGGGCTAGTCCTCCTCACAAAAATAAAACAAAAAAACTCTATCTCCAAGTCGTTTTTGTCCCTGAAGAACTTCCTCTATTAGAAATAAGACTGGGGATTACAGAACATCCTTTTCTCCTAGAATAGTAAATTGTAATGTTAAGATATCCATACTTTATTTATGTTCAACAACATTTAGAATTAAACTATTTTAAACGAGTTTTTAAAAAAATGGTAAAGGTAATATGTAAAAATTACATATAGGTACAAAGAATTTCAAACTATACAGAAAGGTATAAAATAAAAAGTAATTCTTCCCCTGTGTCCAATTCCATTCCCAAGAGGTAACCACTGTTAATAGTTTCTTATCTATCATTCCCACAATGTGTATACATATATAGGTGTATTCTTTTCCCCCTCACACAAATGGGCTTATACTCTACATAACATTCTCTGCTTTGATTGCTTTTTCTCATTTGACATTATCTCTTGGGGATTTTTTTCATATCAACATAGATAACTCTTCCTTGTTCTTTTTAACAGCTGCACAGAATTCCTTTATATTATGTGACAATTTACTTGAACAGCCTGCTGTTGATGGATGTTGGGGTTATTTCCAATTTGTACTATGGCAAATACTATAATGAATACGTCTTCATATGGATGAGTTTTTGCACATTTGTGCAGTATAGCTCTCAAATAAATTCCTGCTAGATAAAAGAGAATGTGCACTTTAAATTCTGATATTATCAAATTGCCTTCTAAAGAGGGCACTTCCTCCAATTTATATGGGGGTGTCCAATCCCTGAAACCCACTCCAGCATCATATTCCCCTTAAAAGTCTCTGACAGTATAGTAGGTAAAAATAGTCTCTGGCTTTAATTTGTTCTTTAATTGTGAGTAAGGTTGAGCATTTTTATCATATAATTGGCTGTTTTTATTTGTATTTCTGTTCCTTCTCTTTGCTTATTTTTCTCTTATGTTTCTTCATTGATTTAAAAAATCCCATTAATCTTATTGATCTGTAGTGTCTTTTAATATGAAGGAAGTTAACCCTTTGTCTATCACCCCTGGCAAATACTTTTTCCAAGTTTGTTTTTGTACTTTAACTTTGTTTACAGTCTCTGCAGGAGTTTTAAAATTTTATGTATTCAGATTTATCAATCTTTCCCTTTATAGCCCCTTTCCCACTCTAAGATTTTATTTTTAGTTCAACCGTGTCTTCTCTAGTAGTCACATTAGAATGTTTGATCCACCTGAAGTTGGACTGCCCTTGGTGGTAGTGGTTGCTACTTATCCAGTCCTCCTCACACCCCTCACTCACCGGCCTCAGCACTCTGCACACTTCCTGGAGGGTCCGCACCTGGTTCTCCACGGAGCACAGGACCAGGGTGCAGACCACCACATCCATGGAGCCATCGGCCACCTGGTGCATGTCCTCCCCGACACCCACCACAAAGCGCTCGAACTGCAGGTGTTGGTTCTCGGCAATGCTCTTGATCAAGAACTTCTCAAAGTTGGGGTTCGGGTCAATACAGGTCACCCTGCACCCAGGCGGGTAGAACTTGAAGTTGGCCCCCGTGCCACAGCCCAGCTCCAGCAGGGAGAGCTTTCCCGAGGGGCCCACAAACTCCTGCAGGTTGCTGAAGAGCTCCCGCTTCTGGCTCGCCATCTCTTTATTGTACATCACACTGAACCTCGCCAAGAAGTAGGGGAGCCAAATTTTGCATATCCAATTCCACACGCCCAGAAAGTTCAGCAGGTACACGGGAAATGCCAGGATGCAGACGGCCAGCCGGAGGATGAAGATGGGAAGCGCCATCACTCAGAAGAGAAAAAAACAGATCAACAGTTAGAGACCTGACTCTTTTAATAGCAGGAGGTAGGCTTCTGGCCACACTCCCGAGCCAATCAGCTCCAGAGAAAAGAAGAACTGGCTGTGCTGGAAAGAGGCAGTTGAATCAAATCATGGGCAAGAGGCCCATTTCACCCATTTAATAGCTCTTTGGCAAAGGCTGATTCATAGCTTAGTTTTCATGAAGCAACATGAGAAGGTTCCCAGCTTTTCCTTGGAAGGAAAGTTGACTACAACCCCTTATTCCAAATCTATTCCTGCCTCTCCTTCTCTGGGTTTGGAGACTGCTGCTGGAGTTTTATATGCACAGTGCGCTGACGCCCTGTACGGGTCTTCCAGTGCCCTCTACCAAGAAAACAAGATCCATGGGCGGAGTGTGGCTACACCGCACTAGAAGACCGCTGCCAGCCTCTTTATTACTTCGTTCCCGTTCCCAGCCCCGTCCTCACTCCTGACCTGTTTTTTTTTTTTAAAAAAAGAAGTGAAAGGCCATGCCTGCCTGACTGCAGTGAACAATTCCCCCTTTTACGTTCTGGGCTGAGGCTCTCAGACGTTCATAATTCAACAACAGGATTCTTTTTAAGTCACTGTTTTTGGCTGCTCATCTTTTAAAGGGCAAGCTTCAACTTCGTATTGTGCCCAACTACTACAGTATTCAGCTAATTTACATAAAAATTGTCCACAGAATATTCATTTTTAGGAACCTAAAGTCTTCGGAAAATAGTTTCAAACATGCATGTGTTCTTAACAAGAAAGCTGGGGCTTTAGGGTGGTTAGGGAACACAGAAATTTTCAAAAATAATGGTTACATTTACTTTTTTAAACTGGGTGATGGATACAGAGAGTGTTCTGTTTCATTATTTGTTATACTTCTACACATATTTGATAAATATTATATCCATTCCATTTTAAACAGCTATTTGGAGGTGGAATTGACATACAATAAACTGTACATATTTCATGTGTACAGTTTGATAAGTTTTGACGTATGTACATACTTGTGAGACCATCACTTCAGTCAAGATAATGGACACATCCATCACCCCCACAAGTTTCCTCTTGCCGCTTTGTGATCCCTCCCTCCTGGGCTCCCCATCCCGAGGCAATCACTTCTCTGTTTTCTGTCACTAGAGATTGGTTTGCATCTCCTAGAATTTTATGGAAATGGAATCATTTGTACTTTTTTGTCTGGCTTCTTTCATTCAGCATAATTATTTTGAGAGTCATCTGCATTGTTGCATGTATTCATTGATTTTATTGCTGAGTAGTATTCCATTGTATGGATGTATAACAATTTGTTTATCCATTCTCTTATTGATGGACATGTGGGTTTCTAGTTTTGGGCTGTTACAAATTAAGCTACTGTGAACATTAGTGTACAAGTCTTTGTATGGACGTGTGTTTTCATTTCTCCTGGATAAATTTCTATGAGAATGTATGGGTCACATGGTAGGTGTATGTTTAACCTTTTAAGAAATTGCCAAACTGTCTTCCAAAGCAGTGATACCGTTTTATATTCCCCCCGGCAGTGTATGAGAGATTTAGTTGCTCCACATCCTCTCTGGCGCTTGGATTGGTTGTCTTTTTAATGTTAGCCATTCTAAAAGGTGTGTAGTAGTCTCTCATTGTAGTTTTAATTTGCATTTCCCAGAAGATTAACGATGTTGAGCATCTTTTACTGGGCTTTTTTGCCATTCGTGTGTCTTCTTTGGTAGGGTGTCTGTTCCAATCTTTTGCCCATTTTTAAATTGGATTGTTTTCTGATTGAGTATTGAGAATTCTTTGTATATTCTAAGTCATTTATCAAATATGTAATGTGCAAATATTTTTTCCTAGTCCACGGCTTGTCTTTTTACTCTCTTAACAGTGTCACACTTTTTGCCTACCTCCATACCCCCTGCCTCTGGCAACTGCCAATCTGTTCTCTGTATCTATGAGTTAATTTTTAATTTTTTTTAGTTTCCACATATAAGTGAGATCATATGGTATTTGTCTTTGTCTGACTTATTTCACTTAGAATAATGCCCTCAATGTCCATCCATGTTGTAATAAAATGGCAAGATTTCCTTCTTTTCTCATGACTGAATAATAATAATATTCCATTCCACGTTTTCTTTATCCATTCATCCATTGAGGGACACTTAGGTTGCTTCCATGTCTTGGCTATTGTAAACAATACTGCAATGAACATGGGAGTGCATATGTCTTTTCAAGTTAGTGTTTTCATTTCCTTCGAATAAATACCCAGAAGTGGAATTGCTGGATCATATGTAGTTCTATTTTTAATTATGTGTGGAATCTCCATACTGTTTTCCATAGTGGCTGCACCAATTTACGTTCCCACCAACGGTGCATAGGGTTCACTTCTCTCCACACACTTGTTATTTCTTGTCTTTTGGATAACAGCCATTCTAACAGATGTGAGGTGGCATCTCATTGTGGTTTGGCTTCGTATTTCTCTGATGGTTAGCGTGTTGAGCACCTTTTCATGAATCTGTTGACCATCTGGATGTCTACTGAGGAAAAATGTCTATTCAGATCCTCTGCCCATTCTTAAACCAGAGGTTTTTTTGCTCTTGAGTTGTATGAGTTCTTTATATATTTTGGCTATTGACTCCTTATCAGGTATATGATTCGCAAATATTTTATCCCACTTGGTCGGTTGCCTTTTCATTTTGTTGATGGTTTCCTTTGCTGCGCAGAAGCTTTGTAGTTTGAGGTAGACCCACTTGCTTATTTTTGCTTTTGTTGTCTTTGCTTTAGATGTCAAATCCAAAAAATCATCGCCAAGATCAATGTCAAGGAGGTCACTGCCTATGTTTTCTTCTAGGAGTGTAATGGTTTCAGGTGTTCCTTTCATGTCTTTGATCCATTTTGAGTTAATTTTTGTGTGTGGTGTAAGATAGTGGTCCAGTTTCGTTCTTTAGCATGTAGCTGTCCAGTTTTCCCAACACCATTTATTGAAGAGACTGTTCTTTCCCTATTTTATATTCTTGACTCCCTTTGTTGTAAATTAATTGACCATATATGCATGGTTTATTTCTGGGCTTTCTATTCTCGTCCAGTAATCTATGTGTCTGTTTTTATGCCAATACCATACTGTTTTGATTACTATAGCTTCGGAATATAGTCTGAAGTCAGGAAGCATGGTGCCTCCAGCTTTGTTCTTCTTTCCCAAGACTTCTTTGGCTATTTGGGGTGTTTTGTGATTTCATACCACTTTTAGGATTGTTTGCTCTATTTCTGTGAAAAATGCCATTGGAATTTTGATGAGGATTGCATGTAGATTGCTTTGGGTAGTATGGACAGTTTTACAATATTAATTCTTCCAGTCCATGAGCATAGAATATTTTTCCATTTGCTTCTATCTTTTTCAATTTCTTTCATCAGTGTCTTATAGTTTTCAGTGTACAGGTCTTTCACCTCCTTGGTTAAACTTATTCCCAGGTATTTTTTTCTTTTTGATGCACTTGAAAATGAGATTGTTTTCTTAATTTCTCTTTCTGATAGTTCATTATTAGTATATAGAAACACAACAGATTTTTGTATTTTGATTTTGTATCCTGCAACTTTACTGAATTTGTTTTTTAGTCCTAACAGTTTTTTGGTGGAGGCTTTAGGGTTTTCTACATATAATATCATGTCATCTGCAAGTAGTGACAGTTTTACATCTTCTTTCCAATTTGGATGCCTTTTATTTCTTTTTCTTGCCTAATTGCTCTGGCTAGGACTTCCAACCCTACATGAATAAAAGTGGCAAGTGTGGGCATCTTTGTCTTGTTCCTGGCCTTAGAGGAAAAGCTTTTCACCATTGAGTATGGTGTTAGCTGTGGGCTTATTATATATGGCCTTTATTATGTTGAGGTACATTTCTGCTATACCCACTTTGTTGAGAGTTTTTATCATAAATGAATGTTGAATTTTTGTCAAATACTCTTTCTGCATCTACTAGTAAGAAGATTGAATTAGTCATCAAAAAGCTCCCAGCATCAGTGAGGACCAGAGGGCTTCACTGCTGAATACTAACAAACACTTAAAGAAGAATTAATACCAATCCTTGTCAGACTCTTCCAAAAAACAGACGAGGAAGGAACAATTGCAAACTCAATTTATGAGGCCGGCATTACCCTGATACCAAAAACAGACAAGGACACCACAAGAAAAAAAAATATCACAGGCCAACATCCCTAATGAACACGGATGCAAAACTCCTCAACAAAATATTAGCAAACTGAATTCAACAATATATTAAAAATATCATACACCATGATCAAGTGGGATTTATTCCAGGCATGTAAGGATGGTTCAACATCTGCCAATCCATCAATGTGATACACCACTATGTAGAAGGGGAACTCAGAGGGCTTCTAGCGTTCTGGCAAAGATCTATTCTTTGACCTAGGTGGTAGTTACATGCATATTCACCTTGTGATAATTCATTAAGCTGTATATATGTTTTATGCAATTTTTTCTGTATGTGTATATTTTACACTAAAAAAACATTTTTAAAAATTCAAAACAGCTGGGCCAAGTGGGGCCCTGGTTTAATTATCTTTACTTTTGAAAATACATACTTTTAGTCAGTAAGAACTATGAAAAGTATGATCAAATGAACAGATATTTAAAAAGCATTCCAGAAAGTCCAATATCAATTCCTTTTAAAAACTATAGGATTTTTCTACAATTCAATAAAGAATATCTTACATTGAATGTTAGCATCATACTTAATACTATCTCTTAAGAGGCATGCTTCCATTAAAATTTGGGAGTAAAACCAAGAATTTTCACTGTCAGCATTATTATTGATTTTCTAGAAATTCTGACCAAGTAAAGTATAGCTGACCAAATAAAGTATAACTACTAGACAAAATTATCTTTATTTGTCAACAATTATAGAACTATAAACCCAAAGAGAATGAACTGAAGTACTCTTAGAATTAATGTTAAACTCAACAAAGTCAATGAATATAAAAACCAGGTAGAAAAGATAATGGAAACAATCATAGCAACGATAAGAAAAACAAAGTACAAAGAATAGCTTTTCTTTTCTTTTCTTTTCTTTTTTTTAATTTTTTATTTATTTATTTTTCCCCAAAGCCCCAGTAGATAGTTGTATGTCATAGCTGCACATCCTTCTAGTTGCTGTATGTGGGACGCAGCCAGAGAAGCAGTGCGGCGGTGCGCGCCGGGGATCCGAACCCCGGGCTGCCAGTAGCAGAGCGCGCGCGCTTAACCACTAAGCCACGGGGCC